CTATTTTTATTTATTGTAGGATTAAGTTAGCTATATATATATATTGTGTTAAGTTGGTTATATACATCTTGTTTCTTTTGTTGGATTGCGCGCGTAAACTAGGGAGCGTTAAGCGCGAGACGATCGCGAGGTACCGATCACGAGAGAGATAGATGGATGGCGAGCGAGGCGGGGAGGGGGCGAGCGAAGAGAGGAACAGGCAGTGTGAGTGTATGCGTAGACGAGAGCGGAGAGACATTGTACGGACCGGTGATAACGTGTCTTGTTTTACTGTTCTAAAATATATCTATATTCATACGTATATTCCTCGATCATTTTCATCCTATACACCCGGGATATAAAAAATCAAATCCTACAATTGGGGGCTCAGCCGGGATCGAGGCGAACGAGAAATCAAGACAAAAGAAGTTGAAGGAGACATGGCAGAGAACAACGACGCAGAACGAAATGACGACGTAAACGACGTGCTACAGACCGACAATATGACGATAGTCCAGTTAAAAGAAGAGCTTAAAAACGCAAGCTCAAGGTAGCGGGCAACAAGATCGATCTGGTAACACGATTAAAGGCGGCTCTGGTCCTGGAAAATCAACAAGACGAAAGCAGCAGCAATGACGACGTATCCAGCGACGAGAGTGACGACGAACGAGGCAACAACAATAATGGCGCCCGAGGAAGACGAAGCACGAGGACGAACGAAGTTTGTACCTACTTTTAAGACGTCGAAGAGTCAATTGATACTTTCAGTGGAGACGACGGGAAAAATATAAAATCGTGGATCAAAGAATTTGAAGATCTGGCTAAGCTGTGCGAATGGAATGCAATGCAAAAACCATTTACGCGAAAGACTGTTACGAGGATCCGCTCGTTTGTTTATGAAAAACGGACGACTGCGGGAAGACGTGGAAAACAATGAAGGTCGCCTTAAAGCAAGAATTCGCACTGAAGGTAGACAGTCGAGCGGTGCACAAGGAGCTGCAACGAAGAAAGAAAAGGACAGATGAATCCTATCACGAATATTGCTACAAGATGATGGAAATAGCCGCACGAGCCGATGTCGAAACAAAAGCGACCATCCAATATATTATCGACGGCGTCGACGACGAGGGATATCGCAAATCTGTTTTATACGGTGCAAAAAACATGCGTGAGTTAAAGGACAAATTCGATGTTATGTGGAAATGTTCGGTAAGTCGAAGTCAAAAGCATACGATAAAAAAAGAAACCGGTCGCGAACGTGGAAAAAAGGGAAGTGAAGCGTTGTTATAATTGCGGCGACAACAGTCATTTGAGTGCCGCGTGTCCCTCGAAAGGACAAGGCGCGAAATGTTTTGCATGCAATAAATACGGCCACATAGCGTCGAAATGTCCGGAAAGTGCAAGCGTAGAGAAAAAAAAGAGTTGTAACGTGGTACAGTACAACTCCGGAAAATGCCGAAAAGACGTTGTTATCAATAATACAAAGCTGAATGAGATAATCGATTCCGGCAGTGACATTAGTTTAATTTCCGAAGAACAGTATAAAAAAATTGGTTCGCCGACTTTGAGTAACCGTACGATAAGATTCCGCGGGGCAGGTTCGGGCGAGATCGTAACGTTAGGAGACATGCACTTGAAAATCGGTATTGACGCGGAAGTTTACGATATTACCGTACATCTTGTGCGTGACGGAACACTGCCACACGGTATACTTGTGGAGGATCTGATTTCTGAATACTGTTGAAGTGTGTATTAAAAAGGCGTAGTAAGCGTTTCTAAGGTCGTAGAGGATGTCGCGGAAGTATCGGAAGTTTATAAAATTGATATTGTACAAGACGATAAATTAGAATTGTCACATATTAAAGACGAAGGGATTAGAAAAGAAGTCGAGCAATTAATGGAAAATTATGAGCCGAAAAAAAAAGGGAAGTAGGCATTAAAATGTCGATAGTAGTAAAAGACGATATACCGGTTACACAAAACGCGCGCAGATTATCCGCAGCAGAAAAAGCCGAGGTAGATTCGCAAATTCGTATGTGGCTAGACGAAGAAGTTATACAGCCGTCGTGTTCAGATTACGCGAGCCCGATCGTACTTGTGCGAAAAAGGACGGCAGGGTAAGAATCTGCGTAGACTACCGGAAACTAAATGAAAAAATAGTAAGAACCGATATCCTTTGCGTTGATTGAGGATCAACTTGACTTGTTACAAGGCGCAAAGATTTATAGTACTTTAGATCTAAAAACGGTTTTTCATGTGGCAATCGAGGAAAATAGTCGCAAATACACCGCATTCGTTGTCCCTAATGGACACTATGAGTTTTTAAAAATGCCATTTGGCCTTTGTACGTCTCCGGCGTATTTTCAAAAATATGTGAATGCTGTTTTCCGTGATTTAACGAAAGAAGGGATAGTTGCAATCTATATGGACGATTTAATCGTGCCTTCGCTTGATGTACGGGGTGGACTAGCGCGGCTTAAGATGGTATTAAAGACGGCGGCCGAGCACGGATTGTCAGTAAATTGGAAAAAATGTCAATTATTAGATTCGAAAGTAAATTATTTAGGGCACGTGATAGAAGACGGTAAAGTTTCACCCGCCGAAGAGAAAACTAATGCCATAAAACATTTTCCGAAGCCGACAAATGTGCGTTCTTTACAAAGTTTTTTGGGACTTACAGGGTTCTATCGGAAATACATACCGCGATACTCGTATATAGCGCGACCTCTCACCGATTTGTTGAAAGGCGGGGTAGAATTTAAATTCAGAGAAGAACAGGAGCACGCGTTTGATCAGTTGAAAGAAGCTCTGAGTAGTAGGCCTGTCCTACATTTATATTGTCCCACAGCAGAGACAGAATTACACACCGACGCATCTGCTCTTGGTTTCGGCGCGATATTAATGCAGCGTGACAGCGAAGATCGTATGTTCCACCCGGTATATTATGCGAGTGGCAGGACCACACCGGCCGAATCAAAGTACGATAGTTATAAATTAGAAGTATTAGCCGTTGTTAAAGCATTAAGAAGTTCAGAGTATATCTTATCGGAATCTCATTTACCATTGTAACTGATTGCAAGGCGTTCACACAGACGATGAAGAAAAGGGACATCTGTGCGCAAGTCGCAAGATGGGCGTTTTTCCTTGAAGATTTCAGATATACAATTATACATCGCCCTGGAAAAAATATGCGGCACGTAGATGCATTGAGCCGATATCCGTTGCCAACATCAATGATAATAGAAGAATGCGAAGACAGCATGCTGGCAAGACTCCGTCATAATCAACTGGAAGATGAAGAACTGAAAAGTATCAGAAAACAAGTGGAAAAACAGAAAACAGACGAATTTGTGATGATAAATGGACTGCTATGCAAAAAGAATGATGACGATACTCCCATCGTTGTACCAAAGTTGATGCAGATCTCTGTAATTCGTCATGTTCACGAGCGCGGTCATTTCGGAACTGCAAAGACAGAGCAACTGTTGAAATCTGATTATTGGATGAAGAATATGCATTCAAAGGTCGACAAAGTAATTCGGAACTGCCTTACGTGCATTATGGCTATGAAGAAAACCGGCAAACAAGAAGGGTGGCTCCACCAAATTGATAAGGAAGCCCCGCTAGATACCTACCACATAGATCACCTAGGACCGATGCCGTCCACGCAGAAGAAATATCAGTACATACTTGCAGTGATAGACGCTTTTACAAAGTTCGTATGGCTCTACCCAACGAAGAGTACCACGACAACAGAAGTTCTAAATCATCTAATGGAGCAGTCCGCCATCTTTGGAAATCCCAGACGAATAGTATCCGACCAGGGGACAGCCTTCACATCCCATGATTTTGAATCTTATTGTAAGGACGAAGGTATTGAGCACATCGCCATCGTTACTGGCGTACCAAGGGGCAATGGACAAATCGAACGCCTAAACCGCACGTTAATTCCATTGTTAACCAAGCTGTCTATACCTCACTCGACGCAGTGGTATAAATTTGTTACACGTGCTCAACAATATCTAAATCAAATGCCAAGCCGAAGCACAGGAAAGACGCCGTTCGATCTTCTATTCGGAACACGAATGAGGCTGAAGGAAGATCCACAAATAAAAGAAATTTTGGAAGCGGAAAATGTCAATTCCTTTCAAGAAAAACGTGATCAAATACGAGAAGAAGCACGTGATGCGATTTTGAAGATGCAAGCCGAAAATAAACAAATTTATAATCGGAAGCGGAAGAAACCAAATATTTATGGCGAAGGCGATCTAGTAGCTATTCAAAGGACTCAGGGCGGACCAGGCTTGAAACTCTGTGCAAAATATTTGGGGCCTTACCAAGTCAAACGCACTTTGCGCAACGATCGCTACATTGTAGAAAAAATAGGCCAAGGAGAAGGTCCAAAGAAAACCTCAACAGCTGCAGATCATATGAAGCCATGGGCCGAACCACGCGAAGATCCACCAAGCAACGGAGATCACACAAACGACATCTGAGGTCAGATGTCAGTCGAATGGCCGAGTGTAGGATTAAGTTAGCTATATATATATATTGTGTTAAGTTGGTTATATACATCTTGTTTCTTTTGTTGGATTGCGCGCGTAAACTAGGGAGCGTTAAGCGCGAGACGATCGCGAGGTACCGATCACGAGAGAGATAGATGGATGGCGAGCGAGGCGGGGAGGGGAGCGAGCGAAGAGAGGAACAGGCAGTGTGAGTGTATGCGTAGACGAGAGCGGAGAGACATTGTACGGACCGGTGATAACGTGTCTTGTTTTACTGTTCTAAAATATATCTATATTCATACGTATATTCCTCGATCATTTTCATCCTATACACCCGGGATATAAAAATCAAATCCTACATTTATTATAATATTTATTAATTTGTTTTTTGCTATTTTTTATATACTTTTTATGCTAAGGTTAGCTAATAACGTTAAGGAAAATGGGAAAAATTGATAATAAAGGACAAATATTGCTAATAAAGAGTTAAAGAAAACTATTATTTAAAAGAATTATTTATAAGAATGATATTAAACTGAGTAATCACATTTCTTGGCAAATAGTGTAATTTTTCTCTGTATATAGTGTGGAGATAGAAAATAGATTTAAGTTTTCTTTAATTGTACATACCTCGATTTTCTATATAACTATCGCTGATATTGATGAGCAGAGACTTTTTATATTTATCCTCTTTCTCACTAATCGTGGTATTAAACCGGGAAAATCCAATATTCCGCGGTTAAAATAAAGGTTATGTAGACACGTGGCACGAGGATTATTCCTATAAAAGAATAATATAATTAATAAATAAAAAAAACTGGATTTTCGTCGGCCGCACAAAAATTAATTAATTTAGCGATTGACTGATCCATAAAAACGCATTTCTTCCATAATACCAATCCACACAACATGCGTAACTCTAATCGAAAACCGTGAAAATATTTGCCACGTGTTATGCATGTCTTACAGACGTATTAGAGCCGTCTTTAATACGTCTTGAAGACATGCATAACACGTGGCATAAAATATTTCCACGGTTTTCGATTAGAGTTACGCATTTAATATACCACAAAAATATTTTTATACATGTATAATATAATCCTAAAAAATCATAAAAATGAAAAGGTCAGGCCATGTTCAAAAGAAGGCACTCAAAAATTTAAACGATCTAATAATAAATTATCACGAAAAGTAACTGATATGTTATTCAAAGTGCCAGTTCAAAGTGAACATACGTAAAGTGTATATTATCTAAATTTAGTAATAATATATTACCATGAAAAATAACTGTGATATTTTATTCAAGGTGCAAGTTCACATTGAACATACATACATATAAGTAAAACTGATTACAATTTGATTCTAGAAAATAAGTGCGATATGTTATTCTTAGTGCACAAAATATAATAGTCGTTTATAGAGATTTGATTTGAAATTCATACTAGCCCGTACAATGAAAAATAATTGCTCGTAATTCCAGAGTACCAATTTGTTAATTACTCAGAAAAATAACATGGCGGCCTGCTCTCAAAAACTTTCGATGGGTAGAATAGAAAATAATTGAAATAAGAGTTGTGAAAATTGTATAAATTAAAACCTCCAATCTTTCTTTAGTAAAATTTCGAATTTTTGTATCAACTTCCGATTTGTGTTATACCGTATTTTCAGGGAGTAAGTTATTGATCAGAAAAACTTTGTTTTGTTGCTCGAAACGGGTGTATATTAAGTAAAATTTATAAATGTACAGTTCTCAGGTCAACTACAATAAAGCTATACGCTTAAAAAGTTTACTGATTATTTGTCGTAATATACAATAAAAATTACATATTAATTATTCAAGATACAAGTGAGAAATAAATATCATTAAAATATACAAAAAAAATTTATCAATTTGACTCTGAAAAGTAAGTGACATGGTTCGCAAAGTGCACTATTTTCATTTGACTTAGAATTTTCTTCAGAAAACAGAAGAAAAAGGTATTTGTATATAGTTTTGTATATTCACTTCGTTGTGTGTAGAGCTTTTAAAAATACGTTGAATCCTTATTCTAATCTAATCTTCTTCTAATGTAATACTTTTCGTACTTCAAATGTTGTAGTAATTATTCTGTAAGAGCTTCGACATTATTTCTAAATGGACATCGAGAAACATCATAGTTTTTGAGAGCAGGCCGCCATGTTATTTTCTGAGTAATTAACAAATTGGTACTCTGGAATTACGAGCAATTATTTTTCATTGTACGGGCTAGTATGAATTTCAAATCAAATCTCTATAAACGACTATTATATTTTGTGCACTAAGAATAACATATCGCACTTATTTTCTAGAATCAAATTGTAATCAGTTTTACTTATATGTATGTATGTTCAATGTGAACTTGCACCTTGAATAAAATATCACAGTTATTTTTCATGGTAATATATTATTACTAAATTTAGATAATATACACTTTACGTATGTTCACTTTGAACTGGCACCTTGAATAACATATCAGTTACTTTTCGTGATAATTTATTATTAGATCGTTTAAATTTTTGAGTGCCTTCTTTTGAACATGGCCTGACCTTTTCATTTTTATGATTTTTTTAGGATATCACTTACTTTTTAAAGTACAGATATATAGAGCAGCTTTCTATAATAGTAATTCATGTATAAATTAATAGTAATTCAAGTATCACAAATATATGTATTTTCGATTCTTATCACATAACTTTGTATAAGTAACAATTTATGCAATACAGTTCAAAATAATTGAAATATATGGTATATATGTACATATATAAAATATATAATTATATTATAGTATACATATATATTTTATTTAATCATATATGTAAATGTTTGTATAATTGTAATAACTTTTAACGATACATTGCACATTTATTTCAATTGCAACAGAATGAATTTATATTCTTGTATGAATATTGAAAATAAAGAATGGGCCCCTCCATCGCCCATTCTCGTGAGAACGCAACCATATATTTTTCTTCGTCTCTCCGATTTTAACACGACATACATATTTATGTCTGATAATTTTTTTCTTGATGATACTTTTTGAAATGTCATGAAGCCTAGGTCAAATTAGAAACTTATTGCACTCGTTTTAACGCAGCGCTTACAGCAGCTTTTATAAAGCGCCAGAGCAGCCGATATTTTATTTTGGCGCTTACGGCAACTTTTATACAGCGCTAGAACAGTTGATGTTTTAATGTAGCGTTTACGGCAGCCTTTATACAGCGCCAGAGCAGCCGATGTTTTATTTCGGCGCTTACGGCAGCCTTTATACAGCGCCAGAGCAGCCGATGTTTCATTTCGGCGCTTACGGCAGCCTTTATACAGCGCCATTATTTAATCTGTTCTAAGAACAATATGTATGCCCCTTGTGCTCCTTTGGGCCATTTTTTCTTGAACACTTCCATATCATTAGAATAATACCATTCCGATTTTGTGTCAGCTCTCAACATACACGTGTAGTGACCACGATTCATTTCTTCACCTTCGTGAAATATAGCGCTTATTACCTTGTACTTTTTTTCATTAATCGTGATATTACTCGTCGGCACGGCGTTAATCCGATTGTTGATAATTTTTTTAGAAGCACCGTTTACAAAAGTATATAAATTGAGCTGTATTACTACGACGGATAAAGTTGATTCGATTACGGTTTTCCTTTTCAACACGGTACCCTTACATTCGTTACAATTGCCGTTTATCGTTTCCCATTTAGAAAATTCTACATTAATCAAACTTTGTAGAGTGACACCTTTTTTCCTTTTTAATGTCGAATGTATAGGTAATATTAGCAAACTACTGCTTTCCAGCTTAGTTACATTGTAATTACATTTGACATTCGAGCAACATGTTACGTGCTTTAATTCGAGTTCTAATACATCATTGATGTCGGAATACGTCGACATTAGAGCCGTAAAAAATTCCGAAACATCTTGTTGTGTTCGTTCTTCGAAGCGTTTTCCGACAGATCTTCTAACCGCTTGAATGTTGCAATATTTACGTTCACCATACGCGCAGATAGCATCAGTCAATGCATTCGATGCTTTATTTTTCAGTATTTGTTGCCTAATACGTACGCAATGAAACGCACATTGTAATATTACATTAGCGTAACACGAAACAGCATCGTTATTGCAAAGGCCATATATTTTCCACGTAACTATACTTTCTGGTTCCTCACAATCATAATTCTGCACATCATCAATGATATTAGGGATAGCCCATCGACGATCGTACATTTTCACAACCTTTTTCTCGGACCGATTGATTTGTGGCAGTTCAGATTTGAATATAGATCTCAGTCGATTATATTCCACAATGGCTCTCGAGTTTGCTTTAACTGATGCTGGATTGAAATTTATCAAATGTAGGCCTTCCAATTTACTTACTCGTGACAAACCTACATAGGCTTGACCATCACTGAATACAGTCGTTCCTAAATCCATCATTGCATTGTTACATGTAATTCCTTGACTTTTGTGTATAGTTATTCCATAACTGAGAGACAATGGAAATTGTTTCCGATGTACCACTAATTTGTGGAATACTTCAAATTTAATATCTACTTTCGTTATTGCGATTTCTTTGTTACCCGAAATAACTATTTTGATGGAATCAATACGATTGCCGTCAGCAGAGCGATTAACTGCAACTACATTGCCTATCGTTCCATTGACAAGTCCCAAAGTTACGTCAATGTTTCGTCGAATCATCACTTTAGCGCCAATTTTAATCGCTATTACTCTTTCAATGCCAGCTGTTTCAGACACTTTATCATCTTTGTCTTCTAAAATTTTATGCACCTTTTTTTTCATTGCTGGAGCACAGTCGACATCATCTTCTGCTATCAGTAGAATTTCATCGCTGTCGATTTTATCGAGCATTGCTGTGTTCAAAACCTTGCACAAATAACACGTGGGCAATAAACAAATTGTATCAATCGGTAATTGATTCATATAAGTGCAAAGTTCATTCAATC